TGACAAAATAAAAGTATTTTATATATATATATATATATATATATATATATAATAGTTTTACGTCAAATGGATAAGGAAATTACAGTGCCTTGAATTCATTAAGTAATGTTTTATTTCGTTCTAACCTGTAACTCGGGAAATGTAACGGAAAAAAAGCCTATTGTTTTTATTACTTAAAACCAATAAATTTTTAAGCCCTGATTTTAGACATACATGAGATAATATATTATTGTTTGACTAAACGTTTAAAAATAACGCTAGAAATGTTATAATTAAGGGAATTAAACATAGGCCTAGGCATTTGAAAATACATAATGAAATGTGTATTTTTCAAGCCATAATTCCAAAAAGAAAGAGAAGCATCGGACTTAATGCATAACATATTGAAGACACATTGCTGTGACATTTATTAGGAACACCAACATAGCAGGAAAGCTAATGTTTTGTGTTATTAAGCACAAATTAAGGAAAGTAAAACAAACTTTAACGTTTCAATAGCTAAAAGCACGGTGTTGTCTGCGGTGTTGTATTTGGTGGGGCGGGAGCAGCTGTGTTTTTGTTTTTGGTTTGGCAGAATTTGTCCAGTCATGACGCGCCAGTCGTTAAGTGTGTAGACTGACTCAGTCATTAGGTGTGTGCTCCTCTCTGGCTGTCAAATAATCTGCTCCAGTTGATGGAGACGGTCTTTTAGTGTGTTGAGATCTGGGCTGCGTTTCCCGAAACCTTCTTAACGCTACATCGTTTGTAAGTTATACCTTAAGTTGTCTCTTTACGTTAATACGTGTTTCCCGAAACGTTATTAGTTAAGTATACCTTCTGTAAGTCATTCGTTCGTAAGGTTAGTCTGGACCACTCTTAGCTATACCTTATCGCTGTTCACAGTTCACTCCGCTAGTGGCCACCACTGTGCAAAAAGCTTCTTCACATTTCAGTCGATACGATTGTAATTCTGTGGCAAGAAAAAGTGCAGAACCAAATAAATATTACAATTCTAAAGTTGTAATACACCCAGTGTTCAATTAGTGTTCAATAAATTTAAGTGTTTTTATGCAAAGAATAAAACGGTCATTACACTGATGGTTGTTAGTTTTTCCATTATAATATACAAAGGCACATCGGCTGGCAAACCATTAGGCAGCACATAATTAGGAGTCTATTCAAAGGGAATGAATGTGATGGGGAGTTTGGTCAAACTATGGCAGCGAGACAGCGAATAGTTGTCCTAAATCAAAGACGGCTGCGTCCGCGGAGCCAGTTAGTGTATGTGCATTATTTCATAATAGTGTTAGAATAGCTACCATGTCAAAAGATACAATTCTACAAAAATGTCGCCTGGCACGGGAGCAAATTCAGCAGCTTTTACATCTTGTTGGTCAAACTTTGTCGAGACAAACTCGACGGAGCTAACCCCCTAAGCCCCGAAATTCTGGGGGGGGGGAGTTAGGACGATTCTAAGGGCCCTCAGAGATCTGTTTTATTAGTAGTAACAGTAGTAGTAGTAGTAATGTAATTACATGTAATTATAAATGTGTCTACCAAAGACTTACAAATTAAACAAAATTACGGCTTATTTCTGCATTTCCAGCAAAATTATCCCCCCATTCACTGCATGGTTTCGTCCCGTCCCCCCTCGAACTCGAAGACATCTCTAATTTGACAGTTTACCATCTGATCTCGCTCGTGACTCTTAGCTACCTAAGAGTCACGAGCGAGATCAGATGGTAAACTGTCAAATTAGAGATGTTTTCGAGTTCGAGGGGGGCAAACCGAGCCGGACGATTTGGTCAGTTGCACATTTTAGTTTTGCTACAGAAAATCTACAAATTCACAATCTGATTAGCCTACATAGAGCAGCAGCAGGAAGCGCGTGAGGTTGTCATGGCAACCAGATACACTGCTCACGAATTATGGCTGAGCTTCTATTTTGCCACACTAAGCTTAGCAATAAACACATTGAAAATAATACACAATAAACATGTCTCAAATGAGGCTTTTATTAAGCAAATCAATGAGTGAATTTCTCATCCACTGTTTAAAAAAATACTTTAGCTGGGTTTCCACAAGCAGGGTCACAGTTATCTACAGTGTAAGAAGCTAAAGGTTTTTGGGTTAAGGTTCATAATGTAGAACATTTTTAACATTGTATGCTGTATGGCATAGGTAGCTAGCAAACAAGGAATACAGCTGTTAAGCTAATAGTCACATTTAGCTGAGTAAGATCATGATTGAGAAATGTTGGATACTGCTGGAAATGCTGGTGTTATGGGGTATCCTATTTATTATTTTAGGATTTTTTTGTTTGCCCCAGTGAAGCATTTCTATTAATATAACTGATTAAGTAGTCAAACTCATTCCATATCAGCAGAATAGTGTGGTACAGAAAGTCTATGTCCATAAAACAGGTTCTGAATGAATTATGTTACTGATACCTAATGGTCAAAAGCAATAGCAAAAGTAATAGGTCAATATTATTAAATTGCAGACAAAGAATTTTAATAGCTAGGCTGGCTTGCACACTATATTGCCAAAAGTATTGGGACACACCCTTCTAATGAACAGGTTTGACTACTTTAGTAATTTCCATGAGTACAAATCTTAATGTTTAAGCATATAATGCTATTCTAGTGAATTGTGTGCTTCTAATTTTATACCAATAGTTTGAACAGCACCCTTTTCTATTCTAACACGGCAATGCCTCTGTGTATTAGGCAAGGTTAAAAAAAAGATTGATTCAGTCAGTGTGGAAGAACTTGACTGGTCTGCACAAAGCCAAGTCCTAATCCCAGCTGAACACCTCTGGTGTGACTTTAAATGCAGACCTTGAGCCAAAAACTCATCACCAAACACCTGTGACTTGTATTGTATTGGACACTCCCTTCTTTAGAACAGAAAAGGGCACTTCCAAAACTGTGGCATCAAAGATGGAAACATAATTCATTTAAACATTTTATTTCCATTTTTTTTGCCACAGTTTTGGAAGTGTCTAAAATAATTGTACGCATATGTACAAGTCATTGGTGTTTGTCGATGAGTTTTTTTGAGTTTTATTGAGTTTTCCCAATACTTTGGGCAATATAGTGTATGTTTGGTGTGGTAGGGGGCAATAAGTTTAAAATAAATACAAAGAAACAACAGTTTTGATTTTTGCTTATCCTATTTATTCATTAAATAAAAAACAATCACTGTCAGGACAGATAATAAAACAACGTGCTTAAAACTACTTTACATGTAAACATTACCATTACCAAAGTAGTTAGAAAAAAAAGAATTGGTCATTTATTACACGTGGTTGCTCATTTTATTTATTTATTTATTTTTGGCCCCATTTTCTTCCAGACTGTGGCTGAGAATTATTCAGTTTTACAACCTCTTCCAAATTAGGCTTCTCTCCCTGTCATCCTTTCTTGCCATCTTTGCAAAAAAAGCTGTGATTTTTCTACTGGCCTTCATAGCTTTGTAAGATAAGATGCTTTTTTTGCTAGACCTGATAATTATTTTGGTATATAATTATATAAATATTAAAGAGTACCATTAAAAAAGTAGCATTAAAATGCATTTAACTAATAGTATAATTTTCTACCATATACGATTGAATAAAATTAGCAGCTAGATAACAGCAACTTGCTTTGTGCTTTGGTCTGGTTTCACTTCACTCCAGTCTAAACTAAATGATTTTATAGGTAATTTTCTACACATTGTCATATAAATAACATGAAAATACAGATTTATTAAGGCTAAATCTTACTAACCACTCTTGCTAAATGGGGTAAACACACTTACGATCTCATTTCTGAGGTGTTCTGAGTAAATTATTTGTTATAAACCGATTCAGACAGTGATGTTTTGTGAGTTCAGTGTTGGAAAGATCACTTGTTTTAACCATTCATTAAAATGAATTGGTTCTAAGGAGTCGTTAGGTCGCGAATCGGTCGGACATTAGCGCACATGGACGTGATGTGTGACAATCCCGGCTGTTAGGACATTGCAAAAATTTGTGTCAACACAGAAAACGCTTCATCACTGCACAGGATTTTTATTCGTTAACTGAAAGTTTGGTTTATGTCAGCTGCATGTGTGGAACGCTTGTCAGAGAGGATAAGGTGACATGTTTTTTGAGCGCAACTCACACCCAGCGGTAATTCAGGGGAAAAAAATCCCCGAATGCGCCACATGAAACAAGGATTCGGTCTTCCGACCTTTACCATTTTAGTAATATGTCTGAGGGAGAGAGAGGGTTTGAAGACAGAGAGAGAGAGGGAGGGGCTCTCTGCTCTTTCTCTCCTTCAGGTAACATGCGCAGCAGTCATTTACATCACTCATAAATCACATTAACTGATCAAAAAAGGCTTTGGCGGGAAAAAAAAATTAGTTTTGGCGGCCGCCCAAAAAATTTTAATGCAGGAAAATCCCTGCATATGGGCCGGGGCAGTGTGGGGGCCCGCCGAGTTGGGGGGAACCTTTAATTGAAACGAGGGAACGAATAGAGCCCTGCATGGGCCCGGCCTTTGTCCAACAGCTTATGAGAATTCTCGGCCCGAGACCGGCTGGATATCGTGTCTTTTTTTCTCTCTCTCTTTCCTATTACACAGCTATTAAATTAGATCAGTTTTGGTTTTTAATGGCAAAGTGGTCATATTTCTTTTTGCTTCTTTATTAAGTTAATTTAGAAATATGTTTGGGACATTTTATGTTTGTTAAATTCAAGTTTTTGTTTTTGACCAAGCGGCAGCGGCAGACAGTGAGTTGAGCATATGTTTGATCAATTTAGCCTTCTCAAACCAACACGACTTGCCTAAAATAAACAGACATAAAACACTCCATGCATTTCACAGTATTAATTTAAACATTTAACCCAGATAAATGAGCACTATTAGGCACATATCCAATCGTTTGTGCAGAGAGTGGAAGCTAAAGCGCGCTTTGCAGGACATGGTGGCGCCAGCGGGATCACTTGCATTTTTTTTTTAATAACAGTGGAAACTTAAAAATACACAGATATTTTTGCTCATAAAAAAATAAGGAAAACAAACAGGATGCGCTTTCTGTCCTCTTGGTCTTGAGCAGGAGCGCTTCACTGACATGATAAATATATCTATAGAATGCTTTAAATTACTATTCTAAAGCGAAATAATTCAAATCGAAAACAAAAGCTCTCTCATTATGTAATCCGTAAAGATGCATTTATCTCTAAAGGCATGTCCAATGAGGAGATGGCGAGTCAGGTTCGTCAAATTCATTTTTGCTTTGAAGCATATTTCCTACATTACTTCTTTTATTCATTTTTTTTGTTGAGTCATTTAATTTAGATGTGTATTTCTATTTTTTTCTGCCCTTTTTAATTATTTCAATTATAAATTAATAAAAAAAGAGTAATAAAGTGTACAATAAAGAGCAATCAAATCCTTATATTATAATCACATTGCACTTGAATAAAGTTAAAGGTGTAATCTGCCAATTCACCTGCAGGTGACCGCATAACTCTCTTTTCTTACGATGGACTTAGGGCTTTACGATTACTCCAGAGCACTCGTAGGATGCACTTAGGGCTTTACGATTACTCCAGAGCACTCGTAGATCTACGATGATTTTCAAGTGGTACTTAAGTTTATGATGCTTTTGGGAAACAGACCGTAATATTAAGATCAGTCGTACGATCGTTTTTACGAACTTCTTAGGCTTACGAAGCTTTTGGGAAACGCAGCCAAGGTTTGTTTTACTTTTCTTAGTTTGTGCTTAATTTAACAAAAACATTAGCTTTCCTGCTATGTTGGTGTTCCTAATAAATGTCACAGCAATGTAACAAATTAGCTCAAAAGGAAATGTATATAAATAATTACAATTAATTATGATTAATTACAAGTATTTATATCAGCTGCCAGTAGTAACTGTAGCAGAATTAAATTGCCATCAACAAATCTGTTCATCCAGCGAACATTCAGTGTAAGTTCATATCAACTCTAGGAAAGAAATATTTCCGTGGCTACAGAAAATACTTTCCTACAGTATTAATGCATTAGAGCATGTAGTAAGGATCAAAATCGTAAAGGGACAATTAATTTGCAAGGCAGAATCAGAAATGTGTGCACAAGAGTTTTAATAACTAAACACTAACACAAACTAGTCTAACAAACAAACAAACAAACAATCAATCACTCATACAGGGGAAAGGGCAAATGAGACTTGATGGATGAAGCCATCAGGAAAACCAGAGAATGAAGCTATGAAAAGAGTCAGTTAACCACCTGAGTAAAACTATCAGGCCGTCTTAGAACGGGGTCTACAGCTTATACTAAACCTCTGTTTTGTTTAGTTAAATGTACGATACTTGCATTGCATTGGCCTGGAACGAGCGTACGGATGCAGTCTCGGATGAAAGTC